TCTGCAGTCTGTGCATGTGTGTCTGTGTCTGCGGTCTGTGCATGTGTGTCTGTGTGTCCGCAGTCTGTGCATGTGTGTCTGTGTGTCTGCGGTCTGTGCATGTGTGTCTGTGTGTCTGCGGTCTGTGCATGTGTGTTTGTGTCTGCAGTCTGTGCATGTGTGTCTGTGTGTGCACAGTCTGTGCATGTGTGTCTGTGCATGTGGTCTGTGCATGTGTGTCTGTGTGTCTGTGGTCTGTGCATGTGTGTCTGTGTGTGCACGGTCTGTGCATGTGTGTCTGTGCATGTGGTCTGTGCATGTGTGTCTGTGTGTCCATGGTCTGTGCATGTGTGTCTGTGTGTCCATGGTCTGTGCATGTGTGTCTGTGTGTGCGCAGTCTGTGCATGTGTGTCTGTGTCTGTGGTCTGTGCATGTGTATCTGTGTCTGCGGTCTGTGCATGTGTGTCTGTGTGTCTGCGGTCTGTGCATGTGTGTCTGTGTCTGTGGTCTGTGCATGTGTATCTGTGTCTGCGGTCTGTGCATGTGTGTCTGTGTGTCCGCGGTCTGTGCATGTGTGTCTGTGTGTCTGTGGTCTGTGCACGTGTGTCTGTGTGTGTGCCAGCACGTGGGTGTGTGCGTGTGGGCCTTGGTTGATGGAGGCGGAGCAGGGTGTGACCCAGTTGGGAGTTTCCTTCACGCAGGATGGCTGCCCCACACCTCCCACCGCCCTACCCCATATGGCGAGGCAAAGACTAGGGGCCGCGCAGGACCCGGGCCAGCCAGCCGCAGGGTGGGCGCGAGACCCGGCCAGCCGCTCCCTCTGGCTGGACAGTGTCGAGCTGCAGACCGATCGATGTCGCCAAAGTCCGGCCCAGGCTGCTGTCGTGTCTGGGGCTGAAGTTCTTCGAGGCAGCCCTGCATGGATTAGGGAGCCCTGACCCCCCAAGTACGACGGAGGCCCGAAAGATCCTCCTGGGGGGATGGGGGTGGGGGTGGCGGACGACGAGAATAGGTCCAGAGGATCCCACTTCCCCGTCCTGGACCCAGAAACACCCAAAGGGGAGCTGGGAGAGAGGGAGGTCCACCTGGGGGCGCAGCCTCCCCGCCGCCCCNCTGTCCCTCCAGCGGTCCCCCGAACCGCCCGAAGGGACAGACGGGGCACGCAGGGCGCGCGCGGGGCGTCCGGCGTTAACCGCTGCGACGCGAGGGCTGGGGACAGGGGACCGCGGCGCTGGGACTCACCGGAATGTGCACTCGCAGCGAGCGCCTCTTCTGGCTGGGGTTTCTCTTGCTGCCGCTCCCGCCGGGGCTAGAAACGTCTTTCTTCTTCTTGGTGTCCATGGCCGCGCTTCCCATCCCTTTAACCCCAAGTGAATTCCGAGGGACTCGCCCCTGGGACTTGGTCCCCTCCCGGCCACTGCCGTCGAGCTGGAGCCGCGCGCTTTTTATTAATGTCCTCCCACCCTGCGGACACCTCGTGGGGACTTCCTCGGGGAGGGAGGGTGGAGCGGGTGACTCGTGCTGCCGCCACCCGGGAGGGGACGGCGGTCGCGGCGGGCGCGGAGTTCAAGCGTCCTCTTTCCCCCACGGAATCGTCCGATTCAAAATGAAAGGCACACCCGTCCTGGTTCTGGTCTCTCGCCGCCGGGTGACGCGTGGCAGAGGTGTCCCGCTGGGTGACAAAGTTTTCTTCCTTTCGCAGAGCGAAGCAGCAACGTTCCACCTTGGCGGCTCCTCCCCCAGGTTCCCGGCGCTGATCCGAAAGGCAGGTGCAGGCGGAACCAGGGACTGGGAAACAGCCCTCCTGCGCCTGTGCCCGAGTGGGGACTCGGGCGACCGCGAGACGCTCTGTCTGCCAGTGTCGTGCTCGCCGCAGAGTGAAGCAGCCGGAGCCGGGAGCTAGGTCCGTCCTCCTCTCTGGGCGAGAGGAAGGGCAGGAGGGGAAGAGGCGGCGAGTGGGCGAGCGCTCCCCGCCATCGGGCCACTGCTCGGCCGC